CAAGCTTTATGGAGATGCTGATTTCATTTTCCAGCAGGACTTGGCACCTGCCCACACTGCCAAAAGCACCAAAAGCTGGTTAAATGACCATGGTGTTACTGTGCTTGATTGGCCTGCAAACTCGCCTGACCTGAACCCCATAGAGAATCTATGGGGTATTGTCAAGAGGAAGACGAGACACCAGACCCAACAATGCAGATGACCTGAAGACCGCTATCAAAGCAACCTGGGCTTCCATTACACCTGAGCAGTGCCACAGGCTGATTGTCTCCATGCCACGCCGCACTGATGCAGTAATTCATGCAAAAGGAGGCCCAACCAAGTATTGAGTACATGTACAGTAAATGAACATACTTTCCAGAAGGCCAACAATTCACTAAAAATGTTTTTTTATTGGTCTTAAGTATTCTAATTTGTCGAGATAGTGAATTGGTGGGTTTTTTGTGAAATGTGAGCCAAAATCATCCCAATTAAAATAACCAAAGACTTAAACTACTTCAGTCTGCGTGCATTGAATTTATTTAATACACGAGTTTCACAATTTTAGTTGAATTACTGAAATAAATGAACTTTTCTACAACATTCTAATTTATTGAGATGCACCCTGTATATCTCTCCATTTTTTTTTTTTTTTTTTACTGTTTTACCACAACAACTTTATGTACAAAGTTTTAAATTTACGTTTTACATATTGTACATTCTCTGTGCTTGACATTAATTTGCACAGTTTATGGATTCGTTGTTGCTTTCTAAACAGACAAATCAGAGTTTAGGATACATAGCAAAAGCAGCGAGTTACAGACGTTGAAACTAAACATTACAACACTCCCCCAGTCTCCCCGACCACTGGATCGGTTGCCCTGCGTCACTGAGGTGCAGAAACAATCTGCGGACCTGCCGCAGCCAATCTGAAGGCTCGTGATGCAACATCACCACATTTCAGGCAAATCAGGGGAAGTGGCTGAAATTAAAGTTACCGTCTCAACCCCGTACAGTAACCCTCTTAGTGTTGGGGGCGGGTGTGTGTGCGTGTGCCGTGTGGTAGCAGGGTGGGGGTGGTCTCCCTGGTTGCTAAGGGCAACAGGGTGAGATAGATGGAGCCGCAGCTGCGCGTCTGTTAATACCAGCGTTCGACCCTCAGCGTCTCCGCGCGCGAAATTCTCTCTACACACACACACAATCTCTCTCCCTCACACATACTGATCTCACTTCAGTCAAGGCATGAGGATGCGAGCGGGGATTTAGTTTGTGTCTTTTCCAGTCTACAGCAGATTATTACCTTTCCTCCAGCACACGGGACGGATTGACACACGAGGAACAAGGTTTGCAGACTCTTTTCTTAGTTATAATGTTTTTGTATTATTTTGAGTATTTCTGTCGTGCAGAACTTCATTTTGTATCCTAGATCTGATTGCCCATCTTTTTTTGTCAAAATATCTACGTGTTGTTTTGCACGCTTCGCCTATGCAATACATTTACAGTGGATATTATAAGGAAGTGCAGAGATTTATTTGGAAAGGACAATAGGCGCGCAATGACTGCGCCCTGGAATTGAATTCGTAGGCATAGTGAAATTGAGTATTTGGTTCAATGAATCCGTTTCCAGTGTGTCTTTGCGTTTATGTTTTAGAAAAAGGACATCTGCTTCACTATTGCGTGTTTGCTCAAGCAACTGTTACGAGTTCGTTCATTCATGCGATCAACTTCGCCAAACGTGCCAGACTGTCCTCCCGCATATTATTATCAGACGCACTCAAGTGTGAATTTGCTCCCAGTTGCGCCCAGACTGTGGTGACGGCTATGTATCAGCGAAAAACCTTTTTAAAAAGCAAAAGCACTTCCGTCGCTGAATTGGATCCTAACGAGATTTCGAGAATAAAACAAGCATGGCTTTACCACAATAGACACGGAATGCGCGCGCGAGTTGTTGTTGTTTTCCCGCTGCATGATGATTTCATAATTCCCACATCACACATTTACACGGTGTCAGACGTGTTACTGGTTACTGGAAGCTTCTTGAATCTTAATATTGTTTAATTACTCACACTATTGTGAGGTCCTATAAATTGGTGATCCGAATCAAGTGACATGAATGAGCATTGTTCAGGGTTGTTTTCCAGACACAACAGAAGTAGGATGTCTGCTTGCGTCTTTTCGACGGTTTTTTTGGCAAATAACGTACTACTCGTGCAGCGCCGTTAATTAAAATAACTTGGGTGATGTTGATAAACACATTTTTACAAAATGGAGGAGATGGTTAGGGACGCATTAGCAATGCAAATGAGGTTTTGAAGAGCACTGGCACCTGCTGTCTCCAGCATTTGCATTGGTTTTCCCTCGTTTCTCATTACAATTATGTTCTACTTCTGCGAGCAAGGTTTGAGCTCACATTTAGGGCTTTATCGAGGGAGCTTCTCCAAGTCTCTTCTACTGCGTTTGCATAACAAAGGGCAAGGTTTTTGTCCATGAAAAGAGGAGACAAATCCGTCAAGCCTCAATTGTCCCAGTGTCAGTCGGATGGGCAAACAGGGTCTTGTGCCCTATCAGTAAACAGATTCAGTCACGACGAAATCCAATTAAGCCATGTTCTTTCCATCAGGCTTTTTACAAGGCAAAGAATATTGCTTCTGTTTTTTATGCTACTGTACTCATTTTACAGTGCATACAGTCATAAGGTTCCTTGAATAAATCAATTATGTAATGGCGCTTTTCCACTGCATGGTACGGCTCGGTACGGTTCACTTTTTGGGGGTTTTCCACTGGGTACAGTACCTGGTACTTTTTTTAGTACCACCTCGGTTGGGGTTCCAAGTGAACCGTACCGTTACCAAAACGTGACGTGTAAACTCTGCTGATCACGGATTGGCCGGAGAGAATCGTCACTACCTGAAGTTGCGACGCAAACACAAAAGAACTGCTAGATTTAAATTAGCACAGCCAGCGAAGGATTGAACGCAACTGCTTTGAACGAGCGCACCTTTTTTTAACAACCAAAAAGTTTTTTTGTCTGTTGCGGAAGAACAGACGTTCCTCTCGTAGATAGCAGAGGAGCGGATCCAGCGAGAGCTTGATGGGGCGACACGGAATGAAAAAGTTTTTTTTAGGAGTCGTGGTAGTAGAGGCGGCGCAACTATAACGACACGTGAATAATCCCGCCCACTCTAAAGCGGTACTGAACTGCAGTGGAAATGCAAACCGTGCCGAGCCGAACCGTGCTGTACTGATCTGTGCCGAGCCGAGTACGACCACACAGTGGAAAAGCGCCAAAACTGTCACATGTGGTTTCACCTCAGACCGAATACAACGTAAATTATTTCAAATTTGCAAGTGGGTCAATTCAGAGGAAGCATTAAATTGCTTTAAGCATCAAGAAAGCTTGACAAAAGATACTTTTTTTTAATCACAAAAGAATCCTTTGTGTAGAAATAAAAACAGCCCCAGTGTTAAATGATAAGAGTTGACCTAGGGTGAAGAGTTTAGAGGTTTATAATAAGATCTTTCATCGTCATATAGGCAACGTTTGCCATTTTCATACAACACATATATGTGCATTTATGCAATGAGATAAGCTAAATGTCAACAGAAGATGTGTATTCAGATCAATATCTAAATGTGAAATTTTCTATATTAAGTACAAGAAAAACTCAAATGGCCTAAATGGTCAAACAAATCACTGATCATGTGTACACTGGTGACTCCAAGGTGACTGGAGGCACTTAAAGGCAGCATGATGTTGTCTAGTACATTCTTTATTTTTACCTCATGTAGAACACAGTAGTACAGCTAAGATACAGAACAAGTTTCAAGCATTGTAAAAAAAACAAAAAACATTTCTCATATGCTGATTGATATACATGCAGCCAATTTAAAACTGATTGTTGTCTTTTCTCCTTCTAGCTTTGAGGTCCATCTACTCCATACGGAATATGATGCAGAATTGCCCATTTCTTATGGAAATAAGTTGGATAGGAACACTCACAGAGCTGCCGGCTGATCATCAATGAACTCAGTTCCATAAAGAACTCAAGGAAATAAGTATTTTTCAGCTAGGAAGACCTGATAGTTGGAGTTTTTATTTTCGATATGGCGGCAACTGAGGCTAATGCAGAGCCTGTCCAAGCAGACATTGTCGAGAACAAGGCCGAGGTAGAAACCACAAATCCAGCCCCAGCTTCAACAGAGGAAGCCCCAGCTTCAACAGAGGAAACACAGCCTACTACTGAGGCGCCACAAAGCACAGAGCAACCAGCTGATAGCAAATCTAAGCCAGCCTCTGAGAAAATATGGGACTCTTTTTTAAATAAAAGTGGGCTTGGAAAAGTAATGGGAGGGAAGAAAAAGAAGGAGCAGCAAACAGGAGCTGAGGATACTACTGGCGAGGAGCAAGATAAGGTCTCCAGCCAGAACGATCAAGGGGATACTGCAGGCCCTAAAGACCAGGAATCTAGTCAGCCAGCAGAAGCTGGCGAGGCTGCAGCCGATGGGCAGACTATTGAAAAGGCACCAGAAAATGAGGAGGTTTCCCAAGAGCAAAAGGCATCTGGTGCCAAGCCAAAGCAAGGAGAGAAGTCTAGTGTTAGGGACTTCATTCGCAAGCCTGTTGCTAAAATTTTCTCACACAAAAGCACAGACAAAAAGGATAGTACAGGGGCACTTCAAAAACATGGCAAGGTTCGTTCAAAATCACTAGACAGGCTGGAGGATGCTGATGCCAGCACAAATGTGGCAGACCAAGCAGAGGAGCCTCCGACTGCAGATGAGCCAGACAAATCTAACCCCCAAACAACAAAAAACATGAAACGCTGGCACTCTTTTAAGAAACTCATGGCTCAGAAAAGTCACAAGAAAAGCACAGATGAGTCCAAGGATGCTGAGGGTGCAGAAGGAACCAGTGCAGATGGAGCAGGAGACAGTGGGACACTGGATTCCACTACAAAGTCAGAGCACTCTGGGCAAAAAAGGTGGAAACTAAAGAGATCTTGGACATTCCAAGGACTGAAGAGAGATTCATCAGTTGTTGGAATCCACAAACCAAAGGACAAAGACTCTTCAGATGTAAACGATGAAAACGCCCCAGAGGCTGAACAGGGGACAGAAGATGTAAAGGTAGCCAGCGACACAGAAGCACAGGAGAAGATTAATGCTGAGGGTGAGGAGGAGAAAGGAGCAACTGCTACTACACAGCATGCAAAATCTGTGGACCAGCATGCAAATGAGATCTGGACCTCTTTCAAAAAACGAGTTATTCCCAAATCAAAGAGGGCAGCTGACACTGGTGGAGTAGAGGAAGAAGCAGCGGGTGAGCAAGAGCAGACTGATGAACCACAGGCTGGTAAAGACTCAGGCAAGACAGCCAAGGCAAAAAGGACACACTTCAACCGTGCTGTGTCACTAAAGAACTTCATACTGCGAAAGGGGAAAAGTACCAGTGTGGACATGGGGGAGGGTACAGCAGCCCAGAAAGATGGAGATGGTACTTGTGAGAGTGAGGCTAAAGACCTGGATGGCCTTGATGATGCAGCTGGGGCAACTGATGTCCCACAGACTGTATCAGAGGAGCAAACTGTGGCTCAGAATGAGAGCAGTAATGAAGCTCAGGTGGCAGGCGAATACAAGAGTTCTGATGGAGAGGAGAGGTCCCACACTAGTGCACCATCTGGTCAGCCATCAGACAAGTCTCACGTAGCAGATCCAGCACCAGAGGGTGGAGCCCAGACAGAGCCAAAAGCCAATGGTGAGAATGGATGCTTGGATGCTACATCAGAGTACACCGCAGCACACAATCATGAAGCAACAACCCAGAATGATGTGAAGGGTGAGGAGACCAACCAGGAGACCATAGACTCTAGTGGCAAAACTTGTCCGAAGGATGGGAAGATCCTCAATCAAGACGGGAACTGTGATACTGTCAATGCAGTTGCCCAAAGCGGTGAGTGTGAAGCTCCAATTGACTCAAGAGATCTACTGCAAAATGGAAATGGCAAAGCAGAGTCTAAATTAGGAGTAGGTACTAGTGTTGAGGTAGAGACTGGGGGGGATGGGGCCCCTCAATGTGGAGGGTCCCTTTCTGGGTCAGCAAAGACCAATACAGATGAACAAGAGGAAGCCTTGAAGAGGATGTTCTATGAGGTTGCAGCTTCCATCGTTCGTGCAGTTGTATCCTCAGCCACTGAACAGTTAGCCAAGGAGAAGGACTTTCTGGACAGTAGTTTAAAGTGTTTCCAGCCTGAAAACAATAGCAGTTACACAGATATTGATGTCAGTTACTGTCACAGAGAAGTTACTTTAAATCAAGGATCTCTGTATTGATCCTTGATGATCCTGAGCACCTTCATCTCTGTTTGTGGGTACATGTTCTGGTGTTGTGGACATGTCAAAAAGATATGGCTATACTCCATCACCCCTTTAAAAAGTTGTGAAAGGAAGTTACAGGTGCTGTAATTGAGCTGTTGTAAAGTTATCCAAAGTAACAATTTATGTATTTTCAGGAAGTATTCTCTACACATAATTTATGAAATTAAAGATTACAGCATGTCTCTATGTTAATGTCGAACCACTAATAATGAAGTGTTTTTGAGGAAGAGGTTTTTCACAATACTGTCACATGCAGTTGTGTAGTGTTTGCCGTTCTGTATTATAAAGTTGAAAATTTATTTTTGGTGAACGTAAATTAACCAGTTCTCTGTGACAAAAATGTGTGTATAATTAATGAAAATTTTAAATGTAAAAAATATATTGTAATATATTCTGAAATCTCTTCTGTTATCATTTACCAGAAAAAAAGGCGGGAAACGTGTGACGCCACACAAAGAGGATTAGATCTGCATGGGATTCGTTCAGCGAGGAGCTTTCCCCCCCTCCCCCAAAATATGGAGTAATCACATGTTTACGCCACGATTCACCATGGTGAGAGATGCAATCCACATAGTTTAAAAAAAATCTTGAGCAATAATTCAGAATCATCAATCAGTGCAGTTCTTGCTAGCATTCCATCATTGTAAATGTTTTGCCTGTCTACTAGTGAGATTTTATATTGTCATAAATGACATTCCTTTGAAATGTTAATCTCAGTGATCACAAAGTACCGTGATCATAAAGACTGTTAGATTTATATTAATTGCCATTCTGTTTGTAATTTTCCTTTGACTAGATATGTGATACAGATACATTTGAAATAACAGCCCACCAGACTGCCCCCCGAATTGTGAATTCAATGCGGAATGTGCTCTAATTTCTGTGTTTTTGTTTTTAGACTTATCTTGTGTACATGAATAAACCACAATTAAACATTAAGCAATTCTCTGGGTTTTCTTGCAGATTATGCCATCATTGACAGATTTTAGAAAATGCTGACTAATAACAGATTAACTGGGTTTGCTATTTGGGGCAGATGTAAAATAGTCTCAGCTAATGCAAATCAATGGAGAGAATTTGTTTAGTTTCCCTCCAAAAATACTGCTTCACAACAGTGCATAATTTGCATCTTGGAAATGGGAACACACATTATATAAAACCCAATATTATATTAATATTGGATTGCATTCACTGCAATTTAATATCCTACTCCATCCTCAATATTTGTATTGAGCTCAGGTGATTATGACTGCCATCCTTGACCATCAACACACTGTCCACTATTTACACTAAATCTCTGAAATCATGCTTTTAGCATGGTAACTGCAGATTAACAGAATGCTTAGCAACAGGTTTTGGTGCAGCATTCCCTATTGCTCACCACAGGGTCGGGGTTAAAGGGATAGTTCACCCAAAAATGAAAATGTGATGTTTATCTGCATACCCCCAGGGCATCCAAGATGTAGGTGACTTTGTTTCTTCAGTAGTACACAAACGAAGATTTTTAACTCAAACCGTTGCAGGCTGTCATATAATGAAAGTGAATGGGAATCATGGCTTTGAGAGTCAAAAAAACATACACAAACAAAACCAAATTAAACCCTGCGGCTCGTGACGATACATTGATGTGTAAAGACACGAAACGATCAGTCAAGAAACTGAACAGTATTTATATAGTATTTTACCTCTGATTCAAAGCAATGTCCGAACTGTCCTCAGCGTGTTCTCAACAGCTGGCGCGTGATGCGTCTTCTTCTAATTCTTGCTTTCTTAAAATTTTATTGGCGGTTGACAAACAACAAAATGGTGTATTTCCGCCACCAACTGGTATGGAGTGTGGATAAAAATGACTTACTCCCTTACCCCCCCCCCCTTTTTTTATATTCTCACCCACAAATTAGTTATTTTACTAATTGACCATTGACACTCCTAATTGAGATTGTAGATGGAGTGTCAATGGTCCATTTGAGAGATAGGTGGCGGTAATGCACTTCTAAGTCTGCGATCCGCCGTAAAGCAAGAAGACGACACGTCATGTGCCGGCTGTTGAGAACAGTTCGGACATTGCGGTGAATCAGAGGTAAAAAAAAACGATATAAATACTGTTCAGTTTCATGCACAGACCGATCGTTTCATGTCTTTACACATCAATGTATCGTCACGAGCCTCAGGGTTTCATTTGGTTTTATTTGTGTATGTTTTTATGACTCTCAAAGCCGTGATTCCCATTCACTTCCATTATATGACTGACAGACTGCAACAGTTTGAGTTAAAAACCTTCGCTTGTGTTCTACTGAAGAAACAAAGTCACCTACATCTTGGATGCCCTGGGGGTAAACAGATAAACATCAAATTTTCATTTTTGGGTGAATTAGTCCTTTAATGAAAAACGGTGTAATTATTAACAGATAATGAGCTGACTTAACAGGGAAAAAACACGACAGAGATATTGAGACTGTATTGGCAAGTGGGTGAAACTGACACTGCATGACAGACTTTTGAATGTGGCTTTGAGAAGAAATCAATACCTATCGACAGCATGACCCGGGTGGACTTTAAGCATTAGGTCTCTTCTTACATGTCAAAAAGGGTCAATAACTTTTTACTGTTTTTGCTATAAAAATATTTTTATTTGCAACTGGTATTTGCATATGCTGCTAGATATACTGTGGCCAGCAGTCCAGCTGGTCCCAGGGGAGAAAAAAAGCCTTGGTTTGTTTGAATCAACTGGGGGGAAAAAGTTTAAAAAGTTTTTTAACAATAAAACTCCTGAAAACTGATTTTCCCTGGTCATCTAACTGTACCCAAAGGCAGGCGAGTGTCTATTAACTATGACAACAGAGCATTAAAAACTCAGGTCAGATAAATCCATTGAAAGGCAATCTGCTTAATGGTGCACAGGCCAACAAGATGACACTTAATGGCCACTTTTATTGAAAATATCACCAAGTCAGAAAGGTACTGTTAATTTGTGAAAGCATACTGACGAATTAAAGAAAACCAGAAGAGA